ACAGGATATTGAATACAGTTACCTGTGCTGTACAGTAGGACCTTGTTTATCTAACCACTTACTTCTCAACTGTGCTAAAAAGATTCAGCAAGCTAGAGCATAGACCAGTTGTTATCAATCAAGGGAAACTTTTGCCCCTCAGGGGGCAATGGCTGGAGACATTTTCAGTTGTTACAACAGGGGACGAGGTGCTACTGGCATCTCAGGGGTAGGGGCCATGGATGCTGCTAAGCATCCTACAGTATATAGGAAAGCCTCCCCCCAATCCCAGCAAAGAATGATTCAGCCCAAATTGTTAGCAGTGCCCTAGTTGAGAAGGCCTGGCATAGATCCAGGCACTGTGAGTCTGAAAAGGCCAGGGTCTGTGTGCACCCTTCTACTAGATGACCAGTGAGTTAACTGAAACTTCATTTTTGCCTCCAAATCTAGCTTAATTGTGTTCTTAGCTGGTGGCTTCTGGTTCCAATGGTGTCTTCTATTCTTTCCCAAAGGAGTTAATTCAAATTAGTTCAGGAAGTACTTGGGTTTGTCTTCAAGTATATGATATACTAGCAGGTACCTGAGTCCTCAGTTCAACTTGTAGCTATCCCAGCAACTCTTCTGTGTTTGTGGGTGAGTAACTCCGTCTCCAGCCTCCGTTTTCATGAAAAATTAAAAGGGTAGACCAGATGACCTCTTCTTGCTTTGTGTAACCTCCAGCTAGTAGCCCATTTAATAAAGAGAATGAAACATCTTCTTAAAACACAAAGGCCACTCTCCTGCTTTGTCAGTTTATCCCTTCTGTCCTTTCCACAGATTATATTTTCATTAGCTGCAAATTGATTTACAAACCTCTGCACTTTTGAGTCAGGGGATGCTAACTTGAAATATTGTTCAGGGTACCACAAACCTTGAACCACATCTTTTTTTTTTTCTTTCCCAGGGAAGCAGAGAAAGAGTTCCAGAGGTGGGTATTTCTTGCAGCCTGCTCTTCCAGGAACATGAATTAATCTCTCTCTTTTCTGAATATCGGTCCCCTTTACAATCAAATGTCAGCAGGAGCACTCCATGCTAACTAGGTATAAAGCCGTCTCTTGGTGCACCTACAGCCATTCATCCCCAGCCAGTGAGGAGCCCCAGACTCCTTTCCATCTCACTTCTTGTCAATCCAGAGCTCCAGCTCCATTGAGCAAACAGCTGTCAAATCCTAGCTTTGGATCAGAGACACAGGGAGAGGGTGAGGTTGTGCAGATGCGGCCAGTAAACTACACACCTTGTCTTGAAAGTGCCCTTGCTTACTCGGGCTCATCCCCAGGGTTACGCTGCAAGTCTGCAATGGTTCATTCTGTGACTTTGGGCAAGCTCCTTCCTGAGCTTCCTCATCCAAAAAGGAGAGTTTGCACCAGACGACCTCAAAGGCATCCTTTTTTTTTTAATGTCAAAATTCCTTTTAAAATTTTTTACAGTCAATTACAAGATGTCTGTTTTTGGTGTTCAACTCAGTATCCCAGTCAAAAGGCATCTTTAATTCAAATCTTCAGTGGTCCTATGAATCTGTGGGAACTATCTCCAAAGAACAAAGTGGGAAAAGGGTACCCTGAGAGCTTTGTCAGTTTATCCCTTCAGTCCTTTCCACAGATTATATTTTCATTAACTCCAAATTGATTTAAAAACCTCTGCACTTTTGAGTCAGAGGGATGCTAACTTCTTGCTGGGAAAAAAAAAAGGAGGCTTTGGGACACAGACATCTTTCAAGCTGAACCTTAAATGAAAAGTAGGATTTTGTCAGGTGAAAATGGGATACAGGTCGACAAAAATACTCCAGCTCAAGGAATCATCCTTATCAAAGGATGGCTACTAAAGAATGGAGATATAAAAAAAATAGGGTGTAATAGTGACCTAGTAAGTCAGTCAAAGCAGCTGAAGTGTAGGCTATGTGATGGGTTTTTCACGAGGGAGAAGATTAAAAAGATAACTTGAGACCAAATTATGGACTTTAAATGCCAGTCAAAAAAGTTTAGATTTGAGTGATGGGAAGTTGACTAGCCAAAGAAATAGGTTAGAGCTATACTTTAGTGCTATGAGAACTGCACCTAAGGGATAAATCAGAGGGGAAAATAATTCAGGGTGGACTTATGAGATCATGCATTAGATCCAGAGGCCAGAAATTAAGGCTTGAACTAGGGCAATGGCCAGAGGAAGAAAAGGAGGGAACTGAGACAGGAAGGATGAGGATGGGATAGTCAGTCACTGAGGTGATGGGCGGTGAGGGAGAAGGAATGGAAGATGGCACCAAAGTCCTGAGCATGAAAAGCTAAGAAAAGGGCACATAAAAGTAATCAAAGCAGACGTGGAAGCAGTTTTGCAGACCCAGAAGAATTTCATTCGTAGCACGTTAAGTTTCAGGGAAGATATCTAGGAGATGGTTGAAAACTCAGAAGTTCAGAAAGGTAGAGATAATTGTTGAAAGTGAGGGTGTGAATGAGACAAGTCAGAGGGCTGCTGTAGAGAGAAGTGAAGACTAAGTCTAGAACCTGGGAAATACCTGTATTCATAGAGTGGGAACATGGGGTCAGAGGAAGAAGAGTCAAGGAGAAGAAATCATAGACTCTCAAGGTTAAGCAGGATCTACAAGGAACCAAAAAAGAACAAGGCATCGTAGAAGCCAAGACAGGAAAAGATTTCATGAAGAAAGGAAGTGTGCATAAAAGGAGCCAGGAGCTTCCAGTGTCTGTACAGGTTCTGGAAGGAGAGGGCTGTTGTGGCGAGCCATCACTGTTAGCCCTGATTCTTGTAACTTCCGCCCCCATCCCAGCCTCATGCGGTGAGCAGGATCGTGTGATCAGCGCATCTGAGGGGGAGCTGCACTTCCCAGAAAGCCCTTTCCTATTTTATGAGAGCAATCAGTGAGTAGCCCCGCTGCCACCCTTCCCTGACTCCCACCTCCAGTGTGACTCTGCCCCAGGAATTGGACTGTGACAGCCACTTCCTATCTAGAAATGGCACCCTCTCCACATATCTACCTGCAGACGGTGTGTCTGGACCCTGCTGGTACCAGAGGAAATGCATGTGTTCCTCAGTTTTTCCCACTTCGACGCAGAGTCCTGTCACCACAATTACCTGTCGATACATTCTTTAGAAGACAGACTTATTGGTGAGTGGATTTTCACACTGTCACATGGACACTAGGGCGAGGTGGACTTAGTGGGGCTTGGTTACAATAGACCCGAACCTGAAGTATCTGTAAACACAACACTTCCTGTCTCCAATTTTGAGACTTAGAATTGACAGTGGAAAAGAACAAAATCTGAAGCGTGTGTGATGGCTGTAAGGCCATGGTGCATTTCATTTGCTGTATCTGACCAGGCTTCCTAGACTCATTCGTGAGACCTGGAGCCCATCAAGAATAAAATGTAGACATATAGCAGTGCCTCTGGGGGCCTCGCGGCTAGAATGCTGTTCTCCTAGGCATGAAAATGACTCTGACCTGCCTTATCCAGCTCAGAAGGAAGATACCAACAGTTAACCATGAGTAGGGGACCAAGGTTACTTATATAAAAAATAGAAATGGAGGAAAGTTTCTTTGGTTCTAAACTAGAGATGATTTTGTCTGCCCCCACCACCCCCCCATCCCAACTCCCAGGAGACATTTGACAATGTCTTTTGGGAAGAATTTTGGGACCATCACAACTGGAGGGAGTGTTACTGGCATCTAGTGGGTGGAGGCCAGGGATGTTGCCAAATATCCCACAACATGCAGAACAACCTGAACGCAAAGAATGTTCCAGCTCAAAGTGTCAGGAGTGCCGAGGCTGAGAAACCCTGGCTCAGACACTCCTGCACTGCCACGGAAGTTCAGTTCCCCCTAAATCTTTTAACAGGTGCTGTTTTCCAGACTCGGAGCAGAGACTCTCTGTTTTTAATGTTGCAGGGAAATTCTGTGGAGACAGTCTGGCTTCATCAGTTCTTGTTGGCTCTGACTCTGTAAGGCTGAGGTTCATCTCGGATGCCACAGACAATGCCGTTGGCTTTAATCTCACCTATAAAGCTCTTAAGCCAAGCTACCTTCCTGGTAAAACCGCTTACTTTTATCACACACTATCCAAGCTTCTTGTAGAAGATGAGGCCCCATAAGAATTAGGTGAGGGGTAGGGAGCTCTCCTCCAGAGCCCCTTGGGCTCCACAGCAGAGAGGAGCCAGGGTCATTCAGACGCGGGATGCCTGGGCTCTTTCTGTGGTCCTGCTTACTCACGTCTGTCACACACCCAAGTGAGCTGAGAGGGCCTGATGCATTCTTGCACACCAGTGCACAAACCTCTTCCTTCTTGTTGGCACCAGCATCACTTGTGGGGGACGGGGACAGAACAGAGATGTTCCTCTGTGCTTGGGTGACGCTATTGTTTGGATGTTTTCCTTTGTGTTGCAGATTCAGGCTGCAGTTCCTTAACTATCCTTTTTGAAGAGGGCCTCATACAGAGTCTTCATTACCCCGAAGACTACAACAACCTGGCCAACTGCAACTGGGTTTTTCAAGCCCCCAAACATTACCTAATTAAGGTACTGATTCTGATTACCCTTACTTTGCTGTGGTATCGCCACAGAATAGCTACCAGTAACACCATGTGGGCAGATGCTTTTATCTGATTTATTCACTGCTGTATCCCTGGTACTTGGAACCTAGCATCTGGCAGCCAAGGCTCTTGAGAAGTACTTGTTGACAGAACTGCCTGTTCTCCACTGTAACTACCCACACTTACCACTAGATGGCAATAGTGCACTTTACTTTTTGTTAAAACGCTGCCTTAATCTTTGTACCTGGTACTTGTTTCATCAGTGTCTAGTCCCTTGTGGAAACAAGCATTTCTTCCTTATTCATTAATCTGCTAACAAAACACTTTGTGAGGCATGGCTAACAGAAGTGTGGTACAGAACAGGTTCAGGCGTAAGTAGTGCTGGCGTACCGGGAAGGGACAGGGAAGGCAAGGCTGAGATCAAAATACAGAGGGTTTTGAATTCAGGATCCGAAATGTATTCAGCCTTCAATTAGCAGCGTTTGTTTGTTCACGCAACACTAGTGGGCCATCTGCAGAGATGCTGCCAGGTAGATGACACTGCAGTCTGGGCGAGGATGGAATTAGACATTTATTTAGAAGGCTTTCTCTTAAAATAATAATTGAAAGCAGGAGAGAACATGAAGGAGGCAAAGTAGATTTATAAAATAATGGAGAAGTCATAAGGGTGAGCAAGATCTCAAAACTCAGATATTTAAGAGACTCAGGAGGAGAACCAAATTGGTGCAGTGTTATGACAGTCCAGAGAATGTAGCCTTTAATTCAAACCACAAAACAAATAAACAGGAAGGTGTAGCCAGCAGTTTGGGTTTCCCACACAAAGTCTGAGTTTAAAGAGGAAGACTGAGCACCCGCTGTCCAGTCCTCACCACCTCCCCCCATAAAAAGGTGAAATAATTGGGATGGACAATGGAACACTAGAGAGGAGGTGGGAGTGGTGGCGTCTGAAGGAGCAAGTGAAGTCCAATGTTAGGAGCAGAAGCAAGAGCACACAGCTTTCACAAATAAGTGGGAGAAGAAGACACAGCAGAAATAAGACAAGCAGAGCTCTTGTCTATCTAAAAGTTTTTGAAACCCAAACAGAGTCAAGGCAGACATTAATTTCAGGAGGAAGCAGAATTGAGGGAAGCTGTTTTAGTGACGGAGGAGAAAAGCTCAAGTATGAGCCTATTTCCAGAAGGAGGAAGAAGACAAAATTTAGTTGACAATCTGAACATGCCTGAGCTAGAAATGATTCAAAACTATCTATTCAATAAAATACACTGAGTGCTGTGCATTAGTGAAGAGATGCTCTCAGGCCCTGCCAGTGACAGCACCATCCTGCGGACCCATCCTAGACAGTAATTTGTGAATTAATATTACAGGTCATATCTCTTTTGGGGGGTAGTAATTAGGTTTGTTTGCTTGTTTCTTTATTTTAATGAAGGTACTGGGTATTGAACCCAGGATCTCGTGCATGCTAGGCATGTACTCTACCACTGAGCTATACCCTCGCTCTCTTAGTATTACAGGTCATGTCTGTGTGCATACCATTTGACTCGAATGATACTTCCAGAAAGCATCCTAGTCAGGGATTAAGAAATGTTTGAATGAATCCTGTTTCTGACGCGTCTCCTTCTCCCCATGCTTCATCTACCGTTTACTGTCATTTGCCTCCACCTTTGTCCTATCCACGCCATCCTCTGTGTCTTTTGCCAAGTGCTCCATGGAATCCCCGTAATCTGTGTGTTTAAAATCTAAACTCCTACCTCACCAGTCCTATCTCCCACTGCTCCTCTCTTGCAACTCAGCCAGGGCCATCCAATTGCTCACACATTGTTCTCTGCTGTTCCTTTGCTCCCCTGAGGAGGGAGCTAGGGAGCCCAAATATTTGCACATTTCCCTACTCATATTTGGCCTCTGATTGGGTGCTTCGGTATTTCAGAAGGTTTGGGAGCCTGTGGAGTAGCATCTTTTCCTAAGTAATAGAACCCACTCATGAACACCCCATTACCTTTCTCATCTAAGCTCACACTCCAAGGCAAGTTGGGCAATCCAAATTTCTCTGTGTAATCAAAAGCAAATAACGCATCCACATATGTGGATATAACATGGAGTCTTCTCAGCTTTCTTTTCAGAAACTGGAAATAGAAGAAAG